ACCGATCAAATTGGCCTTAAATGGTGTTTATAGGCTCTTTAAGAGACATTTTAGCATATGACATCTCACTGACATAGGAATGGTAACACTTGCTTGTGGATCCCATCTCATCGCGATCAATACCACCTACATGTTAAGGTATAGATCAGATATAGGAATTTTTAATCTAAGTTTGTTTGTATATTGTTTAACGCTGCACTCAGCAATATTCCAGCTATATGACGGCGGGCTGTAAATAATTGAGTTTGGACCAGTAAATCCACTGATTGACATCATAAGCATCGATCGATTACATGCATCAACCAAGTCAGTGAGCCTGACCACCCAATCCACCGGTAATAGATGTGTGTTACATTTTACCATAAAGGAGTGCCAATTATAACAATGTATCACTTAAACCTATACACACCTATCCTTGCCTATTGTCTTCTGATTGTGATTTCATTGTTCTGTGCGTACACAGATCTTTTCCCAAGCTCCATACAGCAATATCTCTTTGACAATCAACAGTGAAACAAAATGCGCTGCGATGGAGCATTTCCTGCACAAACATGTTCTCTTATCCTTTTCACAGTCTTAAGGGCACTTTTTAATTCTGCTGAAAACAAACTTGTGCTCACCACAAAAGAATACTGCATACTTTCAGATTGATGAGACCAGTTTGACAAAAGCTGCACTCACAGCAACTTATTCTGACAACTATTAGAAGAAAACCAAAACCTGAAACCTTCTTTTAAAAATATTCCCTCCTTCCCTGTTTACTGACCATGATATTTAAAAAAATGTCAGTACTACAAATAACCAAAAGTCTGCCCTCACGCAATCTCATTAAAATCAGATTTTAGTTCTCGCTGCCGCTAAACAAAGATCTGAGGACATCCCATTACGGGTCACGTCAGAGCGACCTTTCGCGAACTCTGACCGACCAATGGAATTACTGACAAGAAGTTGATATTAGCCAATCAGAATGCAGGTTTCTCGTGCTTTACGGCACTAATTTCAAATTGGCGACTACGCTTCGAAACATATTTTGACAAATTCTCGCTTAAAAATTTGAAACCTGAACAAAAGAATGGCTAATATATGGTCTAGATTGTATTGATTCAGTCGTTAAGCCCGTAACAATCGTTTGGAATACCCCGTTTTAAAGTTCTCGGGGCTGCATGATTAGAAATCACATTCCGACTGTCACTTTCATGATCTGGTAAGCGACGCTCTGATTGGTCGGATGAAAGGTCGTTCTGACATGAACCCTAATGGGATGTCCTCAGATCTTTGTTTAGCGGTAGCAAGAACTAAGATCTGATTTTAATGAGATTGGGTCTCACGAAATGAAGTCAAAATGTTAACAAAATTAAGATCAAGTCACATGACATCATGGTTGTACAGGCAAACAAATCAACATATATATCTTTTTACAAGACAGGGCTGGCCAATTAGATAACTAGATTCTATAACGAGTAGCGATACAGGTCATAATTTACCATTCCAATGAATACATTGTACAATCAATACCTATGCTATTTCTGTGACCAATGCTTTTGACTACCACAAACTTCTCATTGAGGCATATCAGAGGACATCACCTGAATCTGTGACGTCCGAATCGGGCAGTGAACATGAAACAAAATATCCTTGAGAATTAATCTGCAAATTACCGTGATTATTATTTGATCAATGAACTTGTCTCTATTCCAGGATGAATTATCTTCATCCTATCATGCTAACAGGCCTCAGTAAACAAAGAATATTATTTCTGTTGCAAAAAGCTCGACTGTTTCGACTGTATTTTTGTTTTCTTTTTTGCGTTTGTTAACAATGTTTTGGTTGATATTTATTCTGCTGAGTGTGTCAGACTCTTTTGGAAATACTTTTTCTTTTTCAAGTTGCACGACTGACCTGGCAATCAACATTCAGAATTTCAGAATTTGCGAAAAGCATTTTTTTAACGGTATCACTATTTGATTCATGAACACATGCTCATTATATAGTTGGAATCTTACAGTCAACTCTGCTATTGGCAGAGATTTCTTATGAATATGAAAAGGGGCACTTTAATTATTATTTTTTAAACTTCTAAAAAATTCAAAATGAGCACTTGACTGGTGATCCTGATTTAATAACATTGTTACCTGTCTACACCAAATCTAAACAACAAACACGTTCTCATTTCCAATAAAATGTCATACAACAGACTTCATAAAATTTCTAGGTGTTTAAATATATCAATCATAGCCAAAGACAACCAGTGCTGAACCTACACTTGCAATGGCCTATTTTCACAAAGTTGCACACAAACACACTCACACACCTATTTAAAACACCTACATATGTCTAACTGCGCTCCTGCAGATTAAGAGCTGTGGTAAGCACGGTTAAAAGCACTGACACTGCCAAGTATAAGCGATGTACGTTTGTGTCTTTGGGTGGTCATTATGCCAAGTATTAATTCAAGGCAGGCGTTAACATCAAGTTTTTTCAAGTGAGGCACTTTTTCAAGGATTTACGGTAGATACCAGTGACTCAAAGCTGTTAAAGTTCAGAAATACAGCACAGTAGTTGCAATAAGTGTTCTCTGTAAGTCTTACCCTACAGTAATAAACTCTAGTTTCTTTGAACACATTGCACAATCCTATGAAAGGCTTGTCACATGTACGAGGAGCGACCCTGTCCACCTCTCAACACAGCAGTTATTTGAAAGTCGATTCACCTTCTCATGCAGCCATAAATTATGTACATTGCAACACAACTGTTTTGATACCTCAGTGCTCTGTCAGCAGCACTTGCAATTGAATCGTACCCGAGTTTACTCGCCCAGTTCATGGTGCACAAGCCTAGGTCTTTGGTTTTTTATCAGTTGGTTTACAAAATTCTGGGCCTAAAATTCAATGTTGGGGATTAAATTAATTTTTTTTAAATTTCAACTTCCAGATTAGCGCTTCAAGCTTAACATGGCAAGTTAATGATAAGAAAATTGATTGTATTTTGTTAGAATAAAGATTTCCATACGTACTATTCACCATTTCGTACGAAGACAAAATCTTGTGTGTTTCTTTCATTTCACCTAATTGTGAAATAGAGGTTGCCAAATTGTTTTGTCAAAAGTCATAAAGCTTTTTTTCTAATCTCAGGACTATTTTCTTGGTCGGTCTCATAAACCAACTAGAAAATACATATGGCCTTACATTTCAAAATCGCCTGTGAGCGACCCATTATTCTTAGTGAAGTGGGATTTCTCAATTTGAAAATTATTTCATGCCAGCAAACATTTTTTGAGTGAACACATGCAGTATGGTAATTGACAAAAACTCCAGGGAACACCTAACCATGCTAACGCCAGTCTTTCATGAGTTCATAAGCAGTGATCATTATGGCTGTTAAAAAAATTGTGAGATTTGAGCACACACAAATCAGTTAATTAATCTAGTGTGTAAATATTTGAAAGTGGCAAAACAGGCTTATTAAGCATCAGATGTTTACTTTCACTGTCCACACATTCAGTGTTATAGGAAGTTACAAACAAATTTATGCTAACAATTACAATACGAAAACTCTGGCATTTTATTTTAGGAAGAGGATCATTGTTCTCAAATCATTATCCATATGGGTACTTCGACAAAAGACAAAATACTAAAAAAAAGTAAGTCTTTTACAGGCATTCAGAAGTTGAAGAACATGGAAACAAACTGTTATCCATAAAAGTTTCATGTCTTCATAAACATGATAAAGATTAGAACTTTGGTTTTGACCGGTTAATTTGCTGGTGACAAAAGACTTTTGATCGTGACATGATTTTATCAATTTCTAACATGTCTAAATCATGTAAATTCTTACAAAATTTGTAAAATATCTTTTGGACATGTTCGATAAGCATGATAACAGTCATCCAAGAAAATAAACCAATCTGAAACCCCGAATCAATGATTGATCACTTGGAAAATATTATCAATAACCAATGATCAATAATGAGTGAGTGACTTAAAATTTAACGTCACATCGGCAATATTTCAGCCATATAGGTAATGATCAATAATGAAGCCTGACAAATCACAGCACTACTCCTCCCTTCCAACCCCTCCCCCCCTCCCCGTCCACCTTAGACAAAGCTAGACATGCTAAATATAGAACTTATCACCTGAAATTGATACAATTTTTACAAGTATGAAACCGATATTTTTCCATTCATAGACATAAGTTGCTGAATAATTAACTTGCTGTAATGTATTGTGTTTCCATCTGGGCCTTTGACATACAGAGATATGACTGCTCAAACAAGATCTAAAAGGTCATAGGCACGATCGGAATGCTGATGACCAGTTTTATGCAGTGTCTAGCTTAGACTTCAAACACTCAAGCAGTAATTACCTGTAGATATGTATATTTGATAAGGTATTTAGAAACTTGTGTAATTAATGTGAACAAGAAAAATGACAAGATTTTCGAAATCTGTTTATGTGTCTAGTGTGGGTTCGAATCCAAAAAGGGACTCAACCCCAAAAAGTACTGGAATTTGAACTTTACCAAGAAAGTGTTATCCCCAAAAGAACATTTGTTACATTTGACCACTTTCTAAAAGGTATGGTGTATTCTGAGAATTGGTCATCAGCAACCCATGCTGTCATAAAAAGACTTATGGTATTGGGTGGTCCTTTTAGGTTGACACATGTCATCTTATCCCAGTTGAGTAGATGATGTTCATGTCAATCATTGGATTGTCTGGTCCAGGTCAACTCACTTATTTACAGATGGTTGTCGTATAACTGGAGGGGGCATTAAACAACAAACAAACAAACAACAACTTCTTTGAGAGGCATCTAGAAGTTGGAGTACTAAGTAAGGATAAGATAAGTCCTAATTGTAATAAAAAAGTCGGTCAATCAATATATCTTATCCTTACTAAACAACAAACTAACAACCAATTATGGGGACCTATCCCACCATAGAATCTCCATGAGGATGTGGACACTGCACAGTTGCAACTAATACAACACATAGCTTACCGTGGAGAGACTTGCAAGATGTTCATGTGCTCCCTGTTGAGGTGTCTGGCAAGTCAGATGATCCACCTGAATGTTGCCCCGAAACGGACTCCTGCACAGCCTTAGATTCCATCTTCTGCAACTCAGTCTTCATGTCATTGAGTTCAGCTGAACTGGACGACCCAAGCAGGGCTCTCTGACTCTCTGCAGTTCCCTGCCTCTTGTGGCCAGGCTTGGAAGACTTCTTGTTCCCTGATCTGGACTCCTGACCAGCCAGATCCTTTCCTGAAACGGACTCCCGCTCACTCCCAGTTTTTGCAGAATGTTGTGGAGATTTCACTCTTTTCTTCCGGATCTGTTTGAGGTCATTTCTAGCAACCCTTGTAGGGGAAGCTAAAGGCTCCAAGTGCAATGGTGGTTTCTTGGTGACATTAGAGGCTTGTGACGACCTGGTTGTATCTGAATTGTTCTGCTGAGGCACTTCTGAATGAGTAAATGTTGCACTAAGTGAGTTTCCAGTGGATTTCTGTTCAACAGTAGAATCCCGAACAGTAAACGTTGAGCTGACATCTTGAGCTGTATTTGACTTGTCAGAGTCTTTCTTATCACATGAATCATCTGAATTCCCCCCTGAAACTACATAAGTCTGTAGTTCTTGCCCATTGTCTGAAGTCATACTAACCAGATTGTCTTTGTTGAGCTTATTTCTCTTAGTCAAAGCCTCGTGACATCGGGATGTGCCACTTAGGTCAAGGCCAGAGTCTGTCCCATACGACAAAGCAGTCAGTTTGCCCTCAAAAGGTCGTACACTGGATATTCTGCTGCTGTTTCTCTTTTCGGTCTGTACATCGGGTTGGGATGACGACCTGCTGACCTTGTCAAGGTCATTGTGATCTAACTTTCGTGTTGAAATCGGCTGCGAAAGTGAATACTGATCGGTCACATCATCCTCACTGTTGGAGTCGTAGTCACTTGTGTCGGGCGGAATAAACTCCAATGCACTGACATCCAACTTCTTCCCCTTCAGAAATTTCAATTCTGATGAGGACCTGGTTGTTGATGGCATTTCGGCATAGAAAATATCCGAGTCAGCCATGTTGCCTTCATCAGTCTGTACATGAATGCCATTGGCTGTTGCAAACAATACTGGAACATTGAAAGTCAAAGCAGTTGGTGACTCAACCTTTTCTCTCTCTCTAGTTTTGATATTTGCAACATTCAGATTATTCTTCTTTAAATGAGGATTTGAAGAAGTTTCTGAATCAGTCACTGAGTTGCTACGGCGACATAAAATCATATCTTTCCAACTTCTCCAAAGCTCTCTCTTCCATGTAAATGTCAAAATTGGTAAAATTCCAGAAAATGCAAACCTGACCCAAACAAATGTAACGTCGACCACCCAAGGGTAATCTATCTCCCCGATGTTGGGATTGTCCTGGAACTCCTGGCTGTACTGATACTGCTTGATGTACGCTGTCACAATATAGGGAACTTCAAACACAAACCAAATGATCAAAAGCACACCCGTATATTTGGCCATGGCTATCTCTCTCCATATCTGAGGCTTCCCTTCACTCTTCTCTGTATAAGTGTGTTCAGCAAGTTTTGAACGAACAACAAATCGGTCCTTATATGCAGCTTTGAATATAAGTGCAAATAAAACAGCCATTGCAATAACTGGAATAACGAAGCAAATAATTGATGTAAGACAGATGAATGATAATGATGAGGAATTGGAAATTGAACAAAGATGGAGTTGGTTCCTGAAAGTGGACGGAACGGCGCCAGCCAATAATGGCAGACTAAATCCAAAAGAATGAAGCCATGTGTAGGCTATTGCAATGTACGTGCGAGAGGGACTGAGTATATTTCCGTGTCTGGACGGTACTATTTTGACAGCAATAAATCGGTCAATTGTCAATGCTGTTAAAGTTAATACTGTTTCCACTATAACAATATTCATGAAGAAAGTATTAAAGCGACACATGAGGTCTCCATACACCCAATCGGTGGCTATCAAGGAGCCAAATACAAGCGGCATATTTAACACAGAATCCACTATGTTCACAACTGTTAGATTTAGGATGATGAGATTCGAAATAGTTCCTCTGTATTTCTTGTTCTGAACAATTACAATAATCAGACATATATTTCCCATGAGAGTGACTAATATGAAAAATGCCAAAAACACAATCCTTGGTGTGCGACTGTTGTCGTCAATTTTAGCCATAATACTCAAGTTGAGATTTTCAACCAGTGATGAATTCCTTGACATGTTCACTGAATCCACTTGTTCCATTATTGCCCGTGATCCGAATTAGAGGAACCAGAATACGATTTCACAACGCCCTCTTGTTGACATGACCAAAGCACTTTTAGTATTGTGAAATATTCCATGTCAAAGACCAATCTTGGTTAATGAACACTTTCCATTCAAGTTTGATTCAAGTCATCATCGGTGGTTGTTCTTGGATTTGTTGAGAAACTACGAGCTAATAAAAACAGGTTGAGATTTAGCCGGGACACCATTTTGTCGCTAATCACATCGATAATCCAGCACAAGCACCTATTCATAGTGTTCGTGCGTGGATCTTGCACCTGTCGAGAATCACCCCCATTCTCTCTCATTCCAACACTTTACGCGCATCTGATCCAATCTTCACAGGCGAAAACATGGACGGATGGAAATTGGCTTATAAACATGCCGATACCTGCTCAACTACATCTTTGCCTTGTAAACGTCATATTGTATTTACCTGTCGAGCTCAACGGGATTATTAATCAATCATCCAATCAAGACACCGTATATAGGTCACATGTCAGGAAAGGCAGGTAACTCTCGCATACTCGTGTTATTCGGGGTGCTCGGTGTATAGTAAATGTTTATTCAATGGCGGTGCGTGATATATAGACCACGGTTTTTGTAGACTGGCACGACTCCACTTAACTGTACAAATAGCTACAGCTAAATCAGATCTGGATTGGTGCACATTGTCAACTTTGTTACTTTTGAACGAAATAATATTAGCGTGCACTAATCAGTAATTATTTTTGGTAAATGATGTTTATTTTGTTGAAGGAAAAAGATGGATTGAGGACACATTTTCAATTCCAAACAAATGTTCAACTTTCATCGAGTATGGTGTTTCTGATTGGAATAAGCATGTAAATACAATGTTTGTCCATGTAAGATTGCTAAAGTTCATTGTTTTCTTATGGACATATTTTAGATCACGTGGTCGTAAATTCCAGTAAAACAAAAATAGTGAAACATTATAATATCCAACTCAGCATTCATTTTAAGTGCGCGGCGTGAAATACCTAAGGAGTTTTTTGGCCATGCACGGTATGTTGATGAGGTAGTTGTACGCATGTATTGAGACCCCCGTGAAGATCCGGATTAGAGTTGGTCTGCTGCAACCCATGCTTGTAAGAGGCGACTGATGCGATCGGGTGGTCAGACTCGCCGTTATATAGCATGAATATTGCTGAGAGCGGCGTTAACCAACAAACAAACATTTCATGATTAAGAAATGGTGCTTGTCGCCACACATAAAATACACATACAATTCATGACATGCACTTTACAGCTAAGCCTTCTTGTCACGAACAGCTTTTATTGTGTGAATGGTATTAAATATATTTTTTACCGCTTTCAAGAGAAAGTAATGTTGAACACGAGAAGCACATATCACTCAGGTTTTTGTATTGAAATGTGGTGTATTGCTATTCTTTTATTGCTTTCATTTTAAATGGGTAGACTGCCTTCATTACAAACTCAGTTTGTCACAGTTTCACACTCGGTATAGATAACAAAATCGAGAATTGGCAGACATTTGGCACCAGATAATAGTCTTTTAGTTGTAGAACGGCATGGGCAGAAGGTATGGGCAGCATGGTGGGAATTCTGGGTAATAATGCAGGTCACCAACGGCTGATATGGGTGGGATGGTCAGGCTTGGTTTGGTGCATGTCCTCTAATCCCAATTGGTGGATCGAGGTTAAAACAGTCAATCACTGGATTGTCTGGTCCAGACTCGAATATAGCTGGACTAACTCTGAGTTTGCATGGTTTAAACAACAAACAAACACCACGTACAATGAGTCGGCCTTTCACAGGAGAAAGGAAAGCCGGGTCGAGGACGTGTTCCCTTTTTTGGCGCAACACAGGAATACGGGTCTGGTGCTGACAGACCAAGGATCATAAACAATGCGAATATGGCTTCGAACCCACGAGCAACGTATCCTGGTATCTCAAATTCGCGCAACTCTCAATAGTGAGTTATGACACATAAACCGCGGGGCACCCATGGATGATATTGTTGCCTTCCATCTTGTTTGGGCTATTGTTCTTGTCACGTGACGAACATGGCTATATCTTTGACTTTGACGTTTTAATGAAGCATTCGGCGTCTCCATTACGCTAAATGTGGATCAGGACAACACTAGAGCCACAACTGCAATACTGACAATGTGAGGACCAATTGGCCGGTTAATAGTTCGGTGCCATGCTCAACCTAACCAGACAATTTAATCAAAATGACTTCTTCAGTGCCCACGAAAATAAGTGAGTGAGTATGGGTTTTCGCCGCTTTTAGCAATATTCCAGCAATATCACGACGGGGGACACCAGAAATGGGCTTCACACAGTGAACCCATGTGGGGAATCGATCCCGGGCCTTCGGCGTGACGAGCGAACGCTTTAACCACTAGGCTACCCCACCACCCCTCACGAAAATAAAGTAGAACGAGATGAAGCACGCAAACTACACTTGCAATGTATTTGATTCCTTAAACTCAACTGCGTTCAACTGAAATTAAAATATTGCTAACTGTAAAATGTGCTTTCAGCTCAGTTTAATGGCTGTAGCTGATGGGACCACTCACTTCAGGTGTGCATGCAGTAAGGAGTAGCTACTGTGTCCACATCGTACGATCCAATATGGGGTGATGCTCCAACGCTTTAGCCACTGCGTTGCCGGGGGCGGTCGGGTAGCCTAGTGGTTAAAGCGTTCGCTCGTCACGCCGAAGACCTGGGTTCGATTCCCGACATGGGTACAATGTGTGAAGCCCATTTCTTGTGTCCCCCGCCGTGATATTGCTGGAATATTGCTAAAAGCGGCGTAAAACCATACTCACTCACTCACTCACTGCGTTGCCCAATCACCCCTGTTTCAGCAACATGCAACAATGACATGGAGGGGAACACCCAACGCGGGCTTCACGCGGCATAACCACGTGGGGAATAGAACCTGGGTCTTCTTTGTCGCGAGCAAAGCCTTACATCACTACGCTATACCCACCACCGCATTATATAGACAACCGACAAATTACTAAGCACCTCTTACAAAATATTTTCATAAAATGGCAATTTAATAAAGTCGTATCAGGTATTTATCTCAAGCGACCCGTGATTGCCGTAAAAGGTGTCTGTGCTTGTCGTCAGAGGCTACTAATGGGATCGGGGGGTCAGATTCGCTTACATGGTTGATGCATGTCATCGTTTCCCAATTGCGTGCATCGATGCTCATGATGTCAATCACTGGATTGTCTGGTCCAGACTTGATTATGTACAGACAGCCGTCAGTTAGCTGGAATATTGCTGCGTGCGGCGTTAAACAACAAACATGGAAGGTCGGAATACATGAGAATAAAGAAGTGGTGTATATTACCCTTTTCTCAGGTGTATATATATATTACCAGCGAAGATCCGGGGTAGAATAGATCTTCAGCAACCCATGCTTGCCGTAAAAGGCGACTGTGCTTGTCGTAAGAGGCGGCTAACGGGATCGGGTGGTCAGGCTCGCTGACTTGGTTGATGCATGTCATCGTATCCCAGTTGCGAGGATCGATGCTCATGATGTCAATCACTGGGTTGTCTGGTCCAGCTTCAATTATTTACAGACCGCCGTCATATAGCTGAGTGCGGCGTTAAACAACAAACAAACACACCCCTGTGTATAAAATGATTTTGCACAGGTTTATCAATATACATGTACTCACAAGCAAAAATACAATGAAAGTTGAACATATACTGCTAAAATAAAGTTGAGGACCGACCGATTTTTTCATATTGCTAACGTTAATCTATCATGGCATGAGCTATTAACTATAGTAACATGAAAGAATCGGGTGATCCTTAACCTTTTTTTAGTAGCATATATATGACACATGTTTGTTACTCTTCATGGTTACTTCTCAATTTGAGATAGGGGCAGAGGTTTAGCCTTGTGGTTAAGGCGTTCGCTCGTCACGCCGAAGACCCAGGTTCGATTCCCCACATGGGTACAATGTGTGAAGACCATTTCTGGTGTCCACCGCCGTGATATTGCTGGAATATTGCTAGAAGCGGCGTAAAACCAGACTCACCCACTCAATCAATTTGAGAAAGCGGTCATGTACTTGAATATTGCTGAGTCCCGTGATGGGACCGAGGGTGACATCTTCACGCCCCGCTGCATTGATACACTGGTCGTCTATAATACACTAACAAACAGAGATTTAGACCAACAAACAACCAGGAACAACTCAGATTAGGATTTGTTCGTAGTGAGTGAGTGAGTGAGTTGTGTTTAACGCCGCTTTTAACAGTATTCCAGTTATATCACGGCGTGTCAGCTTAATGTGGGAGGAAAGCCCGAAGTGATGCAGGTCTCAGACGTTTACCACTTCGGTGAAACCCACGAGCACGGGTATGGTGCTGACAAACCTAGAAACATAATCGGGGCGAACCGGGATTCGGACCCACAATCATAGGTTTCTGGCGTGCCCAAGGGACGAAACTGTGCACAGCGAATCGCGGCGCCTTAGACGACTGGGCCAACCGTGCCCCCAGGATTTGTTCGTAGATTCGGTAAATTATGTTGTAAATGTCATAAAACATGCTCACATGTAGTTTTATTACAAGTCCACCTGAAAGACTTTAAAATATATATTACGGACTATGGTGGGTAATCAAACGCTGGTTGATGTATGTATGAAAAACTAATAACAAACAAGCAATTTTTATGGTCTTAAGGTATTTGAGAGCTCTGTGATCTCGTTGAAATTTACATTCGTTCTCCGATTACGAGGTACGACAGGGGAAAAGTACTAACATTGAAGAAAAAAACAGTTTAACCGTAAGTGCAAGCCAGCTATAAAGCATGAATTACTTATTCCACTCAGGGATGGCAAATCATTTTAACATAAGTGCTGACTGTGTTATTGTTCAAGCAATAAAGGAGCGCTGTACGGTACAGGTGAGATCACGTGGCTTTATAGAGGTTTTATGTGGAACGAGTGTATGCTGACGTGCACGTCGTGGGCCAGTTCATGGTGTGTTCTTAGACAGACAACGTCGCATGACCTCGCACGTAGCACTTGAGTTAAGTATTTAAAAAAGTTTATCTGAAGGGTATGTATATTTCAACACGCACAGAAGTGTTGGAACATGTTTATGGTGGCACTCCAAACAGTGGCAACATTCCTAGTAACTACACAGTATTAACGGCGTAGAATGTACCCAGCGTCACGCATACACGCGTTAGAGCGTATGCAACCTGATACATTTATATATAGATTCTATATTGTGCAACGCCGCATTCAGCAATATGCAAGATATATACGATTTGTTTGTTTGTTTGCTGTCTGGACCAGACAATCCAGTGATTGACATCATGAGCATCGATGCACGCAATTTGGATACGATGACATGCATCAACCAAGTAAGCGAGGACCACCCGATCCCGTTAGTAGCCTCTTGTGACAAGCATAGTCTACTTTTCC